TACAGCTTATACAAATCCGACTCTTGGAGGCTTAAGTCTGATAAGGTAAATGTGACTACATCCTAAAACTTAAAATTCACTATCCTGTCTCCTTGGGCCAACGTGGGTTTGAATTTTAGTTAATTTAACCCCGAGATATGCATATTTTATTCTTCCAATAGAGATTTTAACATCACTTCCCCCCACACCCGACTGAAATAGCAGACATGAGTTTTGAATGCCAAACAGTGTGTGATCGAAGAGACTGTAGCATTTGTATAGTCAGAGCAAGCTCATGTGAAACAGCCTTATTGTACCATCTTAAATGGCTTACACTGGCTGTTAAAGTAGACCTTGTAACTGATAGGTACACAGGTTCTCTGTCGCTGCAACAATCCCCCTACAATTAGAAATGGCCATGTTTGAAAGTGCTTGAATACAAATAGGGTATTGAACTAATTTTTAAAAAACATAGATCTGTTTTTAACATTTTCAATCAGTATGCTGAAATGAAATAATTGCTCCTAAGAGTGTATCCTGCCATTGCTTTAACATATCCCCATAAATGAGATAGGCATTCACCTAAAGCGATAGAGAAATAGCTCCTATGATGTTCACACATTACTCCATCTCTGCAGAAATACAGACTTTCCTTTCCCTTCATCCAACAGTGTTATGCTATTGCTTACACGCCTTGTTCCCTTAAGAAAGACTGAGTATTTTCATCTGCATCCTCTGCATCAGACCATGTGTCTGTCTACCTGTCACTACCTGCAACCGTCAAATGAGCACACGTCAATCATTTAGCTATGATGCTCAACTCTAATCGTCTTCCTCTGAGGTGGATGCAAGGGTGTTTCTTTTGTATAATTGAAGAACTAAGCCCCTGACTCAAGGTCACTCCACAAAACAATCCTATTGTGCACACCAGACACTCCTGAGTTTCAGACTGGGAACTAATAAATCTGGTCAACACTCACTGCTTGCTTTCAGAAGCATCACTGAAGTCACTTGCAGAAGTTATAAACAAACAAGGCAGAAGTAGACGGCACCATCCCTGTTGTGTGGTGCTAGGTTGAGAATTTACCTCAGGGCCAAGTTGTGGAGGCTTTGCTGTTTGCTGAGGGCTTTTGTGTGGTGTGTGAAGGATACACCAGAATCAATGCCTTCATTTTTTTTTTTTTTTCCGAGACAGGGTTTCTCTGTGTAGCTTTGCGCCTTTCCTGGAACTCACTTGGTAGCCCAGGCTGGCCTCGAACTCACAGAGATCCGCCTGCTCTGCCTTCCGAGTGCTGGGATTAAAGGCGTGTGCCACCACCGCCTGGCAAGCCTTCATTTTTTAATGTGGAGTGACCTTCAAGGCGAAGATTTCAGAATCAGCTATTGTAAGTCTTATGATGTTAGATTTTTTTTTTCTCAAAGTTTAGTCAACAAAACAGAAAATCTACTGATGTGAAAAAAGGAAGAAAACAACAACAACAAAAAACCAAACCATTGAGAATGGTCAACCTCACCTCAGACTACATCTATGTAGCTGAAGCAGAATCCTGTGTCCACAGCACCCATTGGTTCTAGATTTTCTCTGGATTATGGTACAGTGCTACTCTAGGAGTAGGGTAAATATCCAAATGTAGTGCAGAGCTCTTAACTGAGAATTTGAATGAACCAGTAGAATAATTCAGGTCCAGGGTGTGGACTGGAGCTAAGCAAACACGGTTCTATCTGTGAATGTATCAGATGCCTCTCAAATGTGGTTTAATCTTGGTATGCGTGATGTGCAGGGGAAAAAAAGAGACATCCACACCCGAGGCTCTTCTCTGTAGAAAGTATTTCTCCTCATGTAAGTAGAGTGTGATTCAAGGATTGGAAGGCTTGATGGACAAACTTTAACTCTTCTGATAAGCACCATGACCCCTCGACCCTTCCTCCAGTTTCTGATTCCTTTCCACACCTGTGTCTCTGAAGCACGCTCAAGAGATTTGTTGGTGACACACCTGTACAGTTGTAGCAGCCAGGCTCAGAACTGTTGGAAACAAGGATTTAATGTCCCAGAATATAGAACAACACTCATCGTTTTTTTGGGGGGCGGGGGGTAATGGAGAGAAACAAGATGGTGGATTTAGAGTTCTTGCCTCCAGACCCGTGTGTGTGTGTGTGTGTGTGTGTGTGTGTGTGTGTGTGTGTGTGTGTGTGTAAGGAGCTGGAGGGTGGGGTGAGGGCAGGGAGTGGGTAGAGGGAGGCGGCTTAGGGAGAGAACAAGGGACTGGGAAACAGGCCCAGGGCTGGTATCTAGGGAAAGGGGAACCAATACCTCTTTTGTTGTCAGGAAAACCCTGGGCACAAAGGGTGAGTTTGAGTCTTGCTTCAGGTCAGTTGAGGGCATTATGCAAAGACAGCTTCAGACAGCAAAGGCAACTGACTGACTCTGAGGTAATTAAATCACTGCATTAGGCTGCTGACCATGAAAGCAGAAAAATGCCAGCACACAAAAGGAGGAAGGGGGAAAAAACCCTTACATTTGTATCTAATTATATAATTAAAATGTTTACTGTTCCATGTAATAATTACGTGGCTCACATTTGATCATGGTGGAGTTACCCTAATTGGCTAAAAGTTTTACCCATTCTTCTTGTGGGACAAAATTGGGTTTTATTTAGTCATTTTTTCATTCAGGCATGCAAGGCTTCATGCCATCTGACTTCGCTTTATTCTGACTGGGATTTTGGCAACTCCTGTGGTAATTTCTAGCTTGATTCCCTTCCCTCATTGATGTCTGTAATTATGGGCAGCCAGTCACCTGAGAGAGGGATTATCTCTTTCTCTTCCACTTACATTCCTGATATGTTTTCTTTTACTGACGTCACAGGGCACAGCAGGCATGTAGGAGAGTGATCCTCTGTCTCATTCCCAAGCAAGTCACCTGCAAGGACCTGTTGGCCTTGGTTCGGGACTGTCTTCCCTTTTCCCGCCTCAGCCATCAACACCGGCGCTTCCTGCAGCTGTCCATGTCAGTCAAGGGTTGATTAATCACATTGCAATTTATCCAACACTTTATTTCTCCTCCTCCTCCTCTCCCATCTCTTTTTAATTATAAAAACTCTATTTGTGTTTTGCTTTTGGACAGATTGATCCCAACATATCAGAATAAGGCTTGTGAAAAGAAAACGCTGAAGGGAAAAACAGTCATATGGATTTTTCCTTTTTTCTTCCTTCCTTTTTTCTTTTTTTCTTTTTGCAGTTAGTAGTTGGAGAAAGTATGTGTTTAGGACTTACTTTGTAGGAATAAAATTAGATTTTAATTTTAGCCCTGGAATTTATTGTCTGTTATCAGTTACTTGAAATAAACAAATTCTGGCCCAGGAAGTGGATTTCATAAGGATGTATTAAGAATTCATGAAAATCAGGGGCTGAAGAAATGGCTCAGCAGTGAAAAGCACTGGCTGCTTTTGCAGAAGACCAGAGTTCGAGTCCCAGTACCCCCACAACCATCTGTAACTTCAGGTCCAGGGGAATCCCACAGTCTCTTCTGGTTTCTACAGAGCAAGCATACATGTAGTGCATGTGGTATACCTTTATACATGCAGGAAAAACACTCATACACACAAAATAAAAATAAAAATAAAAATAAAAATAAAAGAATTCATGAAAATCAAAGATGAGACAAAGGTGCCTTGGTTAATACAAGGCAGGTGCCAACACTGGTCATTTGAAGTGTGCCATCTGGAAATGACAACGGACCAGCTTGTATGGGAATGCAGTTTGCTAGTCCTATAACATGCTTTCCCCCCACCCGCCATGGGCAAAAGCATTGTAGAGCGTCTGTCATTGTCTGAGCAGAGAAAGCTCAGGTGACTTGACCACTCGCTCAGTCCTTGGTGTGACATGGTGGATGGAAGACAGGCTCAGGGTGGGACTGTCTGAATGGACACAGTTGGAGATGTTTTAGTCCCAGCATATATACCAATATATATATATATACCTTCCCATTCACCCCAGTCTAATATTAAGATACTGCCCTAGATAAGATTGTTGGTCACTCTCAAGGTGACAATAAGCTGAAAGCATTTTTCAAACAACCTCCTTCATACTTACCAGAAACTATTAGGATAGATGTTATCAACCAGGGCCTATTTTACTCCCCAGAGGACTCATGTCATGGCAGGATGCGGAAACAATTTTGTATGATCACCCCTGACTGGCATCAGATAGGTCAAGGCCAGTGATGTTCTTGACATCAACGCAGAGGACAGAGGACAGAAAATTATCCAGTCTAAAACAGCAGCAGGATTAGAATTCCCAAACTGAGGCATCTACTGAGAATCCTTAATTTGTTTCCAAGCTAACAGATGCTCTTTTTGAGGCATGCCTCTATCCACATGTCAACATAATGAGAAAAAACCTACTATACGTAGATGAGAGCCACTGAAGCAATGGATGACATCATGATGACATCTTCACATGGAGCCCGCTTAAATAGTGATTGCATTCACTATTATACTCTCTGGAGAGCTCACCAGAGAAACCTGGGTTGTGTATCCCTAATCTGAAATACTTGCCACCAGATTCCAGAGTTTCTTATGGGGTGTTGGTGGCTGGGGGGACCTATTTCCCTAGATTATCAGTTGAGTATCCTTAAAGTGAAAACCTAAAAAGCTATGGTAGAGCATTCAGGAATTTGAATCAGGGATCCAACACACACACACACACACACACACACACACACACACACACACACA